CATTCTGGAGACGAAAGGCTACATTTCATCCCCGCCTCACTTATCATGCGACCGAAGCCAGGGGTAAAAATTAGTATTATGAATAATTTTGAATACATCTTTATCATTGTGACTTTTATGTTTGTTTTGGGGGTTTGTCAGTGCTTCATAGTTATAGGTAGACAATCTTTACATCTATACAGATAAATAAAATTCAAGTGTGTGTATGTAATGTTAAAATAACAGCGTTTTACTAAATGCATATGAAATTATATGCGGTACTTATAAGAAAAACACATTTTTTTGGTCTGTCTGTCTGTTTGTTCCGGACAATCTCTGAAACTACTAGACTGATTTTGACGGGTCTTTCACTGGAAGATCGCTGATGTTATAGGGAGTAAGTAGTATAGGCTACTTTTATTTTAGAAAAAGAATTAGGGTTCTGCTTAAAAAAATCAAAACGTACCTACGGACGAACACGAGCGAATCGAGGGTGACTCGGTAGAATTTAAAAAAAGAATACAACGACTTAACAGAGTGTGGTATAAGTATAACTTTCAGACCATATATTTCTGAACACTTCCTCATATATTATATTAACCTAGAAAACCAGATATATATGAAAAAACAAGGTTTAAACAACAAATTATTAGCAAAGAGATACAAAACTAACTACAGCTTCATATAGAGATAATCTTAACCTTTGAATAATCATCCAAATCGCAACAAAGATACTTAAACAAAAACTATATTTTATCACTCCGTTGACGAGTATGCACTAAACGACCTATTCTGAAAACTTACTTAAAAATATATCAATATTATAATATACTCTTATATTAATTTAATCAGAGCTTTAACCTCATACTTCTATTTTAAAATTAAACCATCTTTTCGGATTTTGTCGCGGTTATATTTTATATTTTGGTTTCCGACGTTTCGAATGCGTCTAAAACGTTAGTCTCTCCGGTGATCATATCTGTTGTAGCATGTAAGGCAGCCATACTCAACCTTTTTTTTATAGGAGCCACAAACACGTTTTAGTTATGGTGTCGAAGGCCGCAAGCAAAAATTATTTAGGTCTTAATGAAAACGTAATTCCAAGTTAACGATGTAGTTACTTTTTTAACAAAGATATGTTATAATGCGATTTTTGATCCTGCCGCATACGGCCCGCGGGCCGCAGTTTGAGTATAGCGGCTGTAAGGCATTCGAGATTTCGGAAAAGAAAGTATAAAATAAAATCGCGAAAAATCCGAAAAGATATTCTGATACTTCTAATTTCCATATTTTATATTATGCTTATTCTAAAATATTTACATTCTACTGTGTTATACCGCCCGTCATGCGCTGTGTCACATTCATAAACAGTTAATACGTACTACGTTTCCTCACTATATACGATAATAAACCTTTTTATGTATATACACCTTACATTGTATAAATCTAGAACATATCTATGTAAATTACATGACTTGAATGAGTTCACAGGTCAATCTGATAAATATGTAGTTCTTCTATTTTAAAAACATTGTATATATTCATAAAATAATATATGTGGGTGAAGTTTGAAATATAAACTAAAGCTGGGTAGACTCTTTTGTGATTTCCTACTTTCCTAGAATTCGTACCCGAAGGGTGCCAACAGAGCCTATTACTAAGCCCCCGCTGTCCGTCCGTCCGTCTTGCAGAGGGCTGTATCTCGTACATATACTAGATACAAAGTTGAAATTTTCAGAGTGTGTATTTCTATTGCCGCTATAACAATTAATAAATAATAATAACAACAAATAATAAAGACGGCGAATTTTAAAAAGGCTACCTTGTAATTTAAAAAAAAAAAAATATTATGGTACGGAACCCTTTGTGTGCGAGTCCGACTCGCACTTGACCGATTTTTTATTATTTACATTTTTTAAGATAAACATAGATTTTTTTACAAGTTTTACATATTATGAACTTATTCAAGCCCTGTACAGATATACATACACTACAACATATAATATAAAATAATTCAATTGAATTTTTCTGTTTAATGGCTTTAAAGCGTGCCAGTTATAAACTTCCAACCAATATCGCGTACAATGGAGAAGACGGGAAGGAGTTTAGTCGGTAAAATAAGATTATTAAAACAATACTACATTATAATATGTAAAAGGGAGTAAATCCTTAATAAACCTTGGCCCTAATACAAAAAAAACCGTGTGGTACATGTCAGATACGATGTTGTCGATGTTAACGCAAAAGCAAACTGTTTAATACGCTAATTTGTTTTTGTTGGAACATTAACACACAACACCATTGAGTTCCATGGTAGCTACGAGACTTGTGTTATGGATACCAGATAGTTGATACACTACACATATATAAACTATAAATACATACATATTATAAATATAAACACCCATGACTGGAGTACAAACATACGTGTCATTACACATCACACAAATGAATGCCCCCAGCAAGACTCGAGCCCGCGACCACTGACACAGCAAGTACGATCACTACAAACTGAGCCAAACGTGTCGTCAAGTTTGAAGTATAACTGTGTGTTCATTGCATAAGTTAATCATATACACAATAATAAATATAAATATCACCCACGAAAATTATATAAGCAAATATATAATTGTTAAAAAAATCTATGGGGAAAACATGTCTGCATACTAAAGGCTTGATTGAGCCTTCCGCCTTTTGACAAACATTTTTTCCAATATATTACTTTCTATTATGTAAAAAAAATATACCACACGTTTTCTTTAAAGACTACACGTTTCTTTTGAAACGCCTCACCTAAAACTATATACTATACGGGGGTATAATCAAATTATGTATTTTTATACATTTATTACTAAATGTTAGATAAGATTATTATATATAGAATATTCTAGATAACATTCTGAAATTATATTAATAATAAGCAATAGCTTAAAAAGTTTTGATATTTAAAAACATTTATTCAAGTTAAATTTATTTGTTCATAATTGAAGCAAAAAATTACTTTTAACTAAAAAAACTTCATGACTTCAACTACAGTAGTACATTTAGTAGACGATCTAAAAAGTTGTTATTGAGTATCATAGGCGAAATCTCCCTTAAAATTACCACTGAAAATATAAAGATGTATATATATTAAAAAATGAGTAAATCAGCATAGTTAAAAAGGAGATTGCACCTAGTAATCAAAGTTGTTAAAGATTTAGAACTTTCATCTACTACACTATACTACATGGTATTTGAAAAACTTTAAAAAAAGCTTACTTGAGCTAACTATACAAAATATAAGTAAAATAAAAACTTGAACAAATCATTTAAAACGTATTGAACTTTGATACGAAATTTCGAACATTTACTGGACGAGAGGTGTGCGATAAAAAAACGCTAGATAGTAAAAATCCAAAACTTTGCTGTTTTCTGAGTAAATATCGCGGTAAATTTGAGGAATAGTGTTAACAGAGTGTCATAGAACTAAACATGAAGTCAAACAATAATATTTTAAAATAGTATACAAATGACAATTTTTATACAGTGATAAGTAAATAAATGTTAAATAAATACAAATAGCTAACGAATTTTGTTAGAATAAATTTAAAAAAATAAGCTTATATTATGATATCTCTCTTTCAAAGGAAGAGAACGAACGCTTAAAAAATATGGTATTATAAATATTATTCATATTTTATTCTCAAAAATTGTATATTAACAGATTAACTGTGCGCAAATTAGACACAATAGTTAAACAATCGAAATGTTCATATAAGACCATGGGACAGGGAAACGGTTAACTTAACTAATCCATATAAAAATAAATCCCTTATTCTTTAAAGAAAGTAAGCGATCTGGATGTCAAAATCGAGAATAGTAGCATATAAGCAAAACACGCTACTATTTATGACTTTGATATTTATTTTGGCGGATACCGTATTTATAAATCTGTAGTCTGTGTTATTGCGTAAAAAAATAGGATTTAAATGATACTTAATTTTTGTAAGGTAAATAATACTCCTGCTGTTAATTACATCTGGTATGATATTCTGTTCTATAAATGCTATTTATTTATAATATTATATAAATTATATTTAATCAGTAAAATAATATAATTAAATCAGCTTCATGTGTCATTAAATAAAATAAATTTAACATTTTATTTTTAATATTTATATGTCTATGAATGCATATCAGTTGTTCCATCACACATAAAATCTCCTTAATCACGATAAAATTATATTTTATGGCAACACTCGTTCATAAATTAATTAATGTTATTGCTTTAAAGTATAATTATTGGGGGATAAATATTGAAATAAGTTACCTAGTAACATAACACGTCTTAAACGCAAACAGTAAAACGAAACAGAGCTTATATTATTAATTAAAATAAGCAAATAAAATATTAGTGCATGCATTAATATGAATCTATTACAATAAATATTAAAATTTTATAAGCTATTTAAAAAAATATTGGTGATCACAGTTTTTTAAACTTATTGAAACTTTCTTTTTGTTCATATATTATATTATCTGTTTTAATGTAAGCACGCACTAACATATAATATATTTTTGTTGTTTTTTTTTTAATTGGTTAAACCAATAAGATTAACAGCCATAGAAAAATAAGTTTCTTAAATATTTATCAAAATATAATGAATAAATTTATAAGTATTTAGATTGAATATTTATCAAAAATAAGGAAATTTACAATTTCACTCACTCAAATCACTCTTAAAATAGATGTATATCACGAAGGTAGCTTACAATTTAGAAAACAGTGAATAATTTTCAAATCAAATACAAACATAACATAAAAATTTTAACAACAAAAGTTAAAGTAACTTTTTTTACCATGTATGCATAAAAATTAATAAAAAAAAACAAAATTATACTGATGTTACCAATTTCTTTAACATTTTTAAAGGAAATTCAACCGTAACCACAATGCAATAGAGTTGAAATTAATAAAACTTGATGGTAATGTTATATGAATCGCAAGTTACCTCCAATTTTATGCTTAGAAAGGTTTAACCCTCCTGTTTCACCACACCCATCTCTTGAAGCAGTTCCTCTAAGCCTTCAGGCATTCGACCCTGGTCTAGTTCGAGGTTCCATTTGTAGTACTGAAAAATATAATACGAAATATATATAAACATAAATGATAAAACTACCCCTCTAAACAAATTCAAGGTTTGGCTTGATATTAGGGAAGTAGTTTTGATAAAAGTATTTAACATTAAACCATAGATGACGACACGTTTGTCTCAGTTTGTAGTGCCAACCCTACTTGCTGTGCCAGCGGTCGCGGGTTCGAGTGCTGCTGGGGGCATTCATTTGTGTGATGAGCACGAATGTTTGTACTCCAATCATGGGTGTTCATATTTATAATGTGTATGTATTTAAAGTTATATACATATGTAGTGTATCAACCATCTGGTATCCATAACACAAGCTTTGTGCCTACCATGGAACGAGATGATGCTGTGTGTTAATGTCCCAACATATTTATTTATTTATAGATATTAATTGCAAATCGATTTATATTATTTAATTTTTTTCCGGAGCACACGCTTTTTACAGGTTGTCAAAAATACTAAATTTTCATGACAAGCAGTATCGAAGATAAATTACAGCAGCGCCATCTCTTAGCAAGTTACAGTTATGTCCGTACCTGTAAGTATTCTAGTAAGTAGTAACCATAAAGCTCTATCCATGCTTTATCTAGACACGGTCGTTAGACGACTGTATGGGATAGACTATGATATTAATATGGAAAAATAAATCTATAAAATCTTCAACACTAACTTTATCCAACTCCTTCCTTAAAGACAGCACTGAACGTTCCCGATCAGCCACTAGCTCTTCTAGGTACTGATAACGAAGCTTCTTACGAGCGCGACACTCGCGCGCCGACTGCCTGCTACGTTCTGAAATTATCAATATGTTATATCAACTATATATTACCTAATGCGATTAAAAAAACATTATAAACTACCAATTTTCATTATTTTCGGTAAATCTTTAATTTATGGTAAAACCCACATTAAAATTGAGTAGGTGGTTTTAAAAAAAAACAAGCGAAATAAGAAACAGTTAACTTTGTTATTGTTAAAATAAGTTATATAAGCAATAACCTCCTTTTTTGAAGTAGGTTAATAAAATATTTTAAAATAGCAAAGGTACTATTAAATAACAAATACAGATGATTATAAGTACAAATGTATGATCGAAATAAGCTCTAATTTTATATCATAAGATCAATTAAAATTCTAAGAAAACCCCGGACACTGTAGACTTTTTATCGGCCGATTATTATTATCAGATTCACAATCAGTACAAGGTGTGCTATATTATCGGAAAATATCGAATTGTCATATAGTTAATAAGTGGGTACTTCTGAATGCATTTACGTATACTTTTGTATAATTTAATGTTTTTTCAAGGTTTCCTTTTTTTATCTCAGTGGCTTCGTAGTTTGTCAAGCAATCCTGCAATGCCTCATTCACTTCGGCGATAAGATTCCACCGTGGGTTTTTGTGAGTAAATCTCACAGTCCCTTGGATGTCGACGGCCGGCATAAACCGTAGCGATGGGTCGTCGACGTATTTAGCGTGAACGAAACTAGACCGTTCATTTTCTTTCGTCGACTAGTCGATCGACTAGTTCAAATCGTGGACTGTGGTTCCCGTACCCTTCAATGTAGTTGTAGACGCTAGACAGTCTATAGTTACTAGTTTATGTTGCGAGACGGACTGTCTACTCTATGAATTGAACTAGTTCATTTGAAATACGTGAACCATCGAACCGTCGACCGGTTGAATGAACTAGTCCGTTCATTCAACGCCCATCGCTAATAAACCGTATGATGGGGTTAACCAACGACATAAAATAGGTCTGTTTCATTTAAACATCTAGATTTAAAACATTTTTATCTTATTTTACGCACTAACTAAAAAAATTAACATTGACATTAACGACATTCAAAATAAAATAATAACAAAAAAAAACAAAAATATAACTATCAACGATCAGCCGATAGAAAGCCTACTACAGTGTGCAGTAACTCTAAGTAAGTTAATACAACACAATATTTAATTACACAACCCTTACCCAATTTAGCCTTCATGTCCTGTTTGTCGAGCTGCGCCTTTCTGCCGGGTCTGCGGCCGCGCTTGCCTCCCTCCCGCCTCTCACCCCCCTCCGCACCGGACGCGCCTGTTGACCCGTACAGTCCGCCTAGGGACTCCTTTAAAATAAAAATAGGACTATTATAAATGCGAAAGTTTTTATGTTTGTTACTATTTTACACTGAAACGGCTAAACGATTTGGATTTTTAATGCACAGATAATAATAATTTACTAAGTAATACAAGACATAAACGGCCAACAATATTACATACAAAAACAAACATACATATATTATACAGAGCGATCTTAGTTTCTAATCTCACTTTAACTTAGGCTGTGTCGATACAAAAGATATGGTAGCCTCTTGCCGTACTAGGAGTATGAAAATACACTATGATCTGGAGTTGCTTGCTTTTAGGCACTTATGGACCTATCCAAACGAAGCGAAGGTGAGTCGCTAGTACACTACACATATTATGTTCGTAATAGTAACACTTAAATTTGTTTTTCATAACAACGTAATGTAACTCGCGCTAGACAGAATTGTTTATTCTTCAGATTGTGAATTCAATACCCAGATGAGACTACTACTAAATGAAATTTAATTAGACAAAGCACAGTCAGCTAGAAATATCAAAGAACTATCTCTACATAAAGTGGGGAGATAAGTGATTGCCAAACCTAGAGCACTACAAACGTCATTTGACGAAAGATGGATATTTGTAGTCGATACTGACGTTCTTTCATTCATTAACCTATTTATAAATACATTATGTAAATTGTTTTTAAAGTGTGTTTCTGTAACAAAAATCGAGTTATTATAATTTTTGTCTGCACCATCCATATATAAATAGTACGATATTAAAAGGATTACAATGTTTAACCAATATTACGCGTTTATTACGGACTAATTGTAATAAATTCCTTTAATTATTTATAACTATACATAGTGTTGAAAAGGTATTTCCGTTCTTTTGCTATCATAGAGCAGATGTCAAGTTTAGCCTTTGAGAAAATGAAATAACGCCCTGGTCAAAGCCAAACGCAAGGTTTTCTTTTGTTTAAAAGTGCAAGTTTCCATTAAAAAAAATCCGAATGTACATTTTTCAGAAAGCAACGATAGAGATAAAAAAAAACAAATTCTTTGTATAAGATCAATGAAAAAGTCCTTAACAAATTTAAAACTAAATAGTTAATAATATGAACTTGTTTACATTTTTTAATTTATCGTAGAGTCAGAGCCCTACAAAGGGATCAAGGTAAAGTAAGGTAGTTAATTATCTATTAGTACACGTTACACAACAAAAAAACTGGTCGTAAACATAATACAAACTTGGCCTTAGCAGATGTATTATAATATTTTCATACAATATGTAGAGTAATAAAAATTTGTAACTAAACTAGAAGATTGTAGAGATAACTTAAAATGTATATATATATATATATATATATATATATATATATATATATATATATATATATATATATTATTAACTAGCACTTCCCGCGGCTCCGCTCGCGTTCAGATGACTAAAAATCAAATTCTTAGGTTTTACATATTAGTATACTCTTACATTGCAGTTTTTGTATTTTTTCCCAAAAATGAGATATTTTCCCGCAGTAAAAAGTATCTTATATGTTGACCTGCATATATAATTTCATCAAAATCCCTCGAGTGGTTTTTCCGTGACGCGGTAACAGAAAGACAGACACAAACATTCTAAAAACTATAGACTCGGCCTCTGTATCGATAATAATGTTTATTTTAATAAGATTATCCAAAAAATATCTAATGTACAGATTCGACTTAGTTACTATTTTATTATATGTGTAGAAGATTCATTATATTACACATCGATATAATCAAATAAAACAATAATAAAGAATTAAGAGATAACAATAAATTCTCCTCACTTACAATTATTTTATAAAAAAAAACACAATAATTAACCTTGATTGAATGAATATAGGCGTATTAAATTTTATGTGCACATAAAATATCTTCGCTGATAAACACGCCCAAGGCATTCCTAGGTCGATGCCACCGACCGACGCACCGTTTACTGCTTAGTGTTTATATGTAATATTTTTTGTAAGTTTGACAAATTGTGTGTTTTTTTAATGTTTGTTTTTAATGTTTAATTATTAGCAAATACATCAAAGTCTGATAAGTTTGAATTTTGAAACTAGTTTTCACCTTTGATTCTGCAGGCCTAAAAGAATATAACGTATGTATCACAATTTCGAATTCTATTTAAATCCATTGAGCCGTCGAAGTAAGAAGAAGTAACAAACACATTTTGTGAATTTGTAATATTTATATTTTTTATGATTTAAATTGCATTCATTAATGCATCCTATAAAAAGAGCTGGAAGATTTAATTGTAATTTGGATATTTTTTTACATTTTATAGTATAACTAATAGCTTGTTTGAAAATTCCATTAGTATAAAAATGTGGTCAGTATTCGAAAAAGTTATCTTGGAAATAGAGCGTTTAAATAGGACGGTGATAGCAAGAAATCTTTCTGGATATAAATTAATTCATGAATATAGGATAGAGAAGTATAAACTTACTAACATTAATTATAAAAATAAAATGATAAAAGTTTTCATTTATAATATTTAAATAGAAAAACAAAAAGATTAAGAAACGAGATATTTTCAAGGAGCTGATGCTTCAAGATCCTTGACAAGAAGACGTATCACCAGTGTGGCGTGACTGGCATACAATATTACTTTATTTTATAAATACAACACAATGGCAATATAATATACTGTGTGACTATCTCTGACATTTTTATAATTATGAAAATATTTTTTATGCCATGTATGTACGTCTTCTTTCAATATATAGAACCAATTTAAAAAAAATCGCCATTGGCACTGAGATGTCCTTGATTAATGAGATTTATGCCTAACCTTACTGAAAATCCAGTTATGTTATAGGCATAAATACTCTTCGCTATCTTCTTCACTTATAATTTGGAGACTGAAAAATCAAACCTATGCACTTTAAATATATATAGATATATGTAAAAAAGAAAACTTTCGGATATTTAACTATCTGTACGCCAGCCATACATATATATAATAAAAATCGAATAATCATTATACTCAATCAAAAATAAGTAAAGATTTGATATTCACCTTTTGAAGACGTACCTACGTGCATGGTAACATTATCCATTTATAAAAAAAAAAAACATTTTCCATCAAAAATAGAGTTGAACATCTTTCAATGTCGGCGCGTGAAAGTCGCTATGTCGTTACGGTAGAGACATTGAACACGAGTTACTGCGTAGGTGCATTTAGTATAGGTACCTATACATAATGCATATTTGTTATCTATCAACCTTAATGACTAAAAAGCTAAATAAAAAACCCTTCAATTATTTCGACAACTCCAGAATCATGTTTGATAATAATTGGGATATAAGCTTTTTAATTAATTTTATAAAAGCATTATTTCACGTAAAATGATATAGACAATGTCATAGAACTAAACATGTTTTAAAATAGTATACAAATCAAAATTTGTATACTGAGTGATGAATAAAGAAATGTTAATAAATTAAAATAGTTTTTATAATAATAAAGAAAAAATACATAAATAAGCGAATATAATGCTATCTCTATTTCAATGGGATCAGATTAGAGAACAAATAATTAAAAAATAAGAAAGAATATAGTATAACTTTTGTTATTCATATTTTATTCCCAAAATTGTATATTACCTTAACAAAACATACCTACAAATTTTCTTATTCTTTAAAGAAAGTAAACGATCTACGTATATGGCAAAGTCGAGAATAGTAGCATACACAGCAAATCACGCTACTATTTTTGACTTTGACATTTATTTTGATGGACTCCGTCTACATAATATTTTAGTCTGAAATAACTACATAATATATATTTATCCAAAAAGTCACGAAGTCAAAGAAGTGACAGTAGAGTCATCTTAATTCTTATTTTAAGATATTGTGCAACGTAAACCAAAACGCGCGGTAGAATTGGTGTCGCCAAGATATTTTAATCATGTTTCGTAGTATTTGTGCTCACGTAGCGTTTGTTATATGTATATTGAATGAAACAATGCCTCACAAAAAGCCTGCCGTAAGACGCATTATCGGCATGAATTATCGGCTTACTAATGAGAGGTTTATTAAGCCTTGAAAAAAAATTTAACACGCAATACGTTTTATAAAAGAGGCGTAAATTTTAAAATGTTTTATTGCTTACAGGAATTACATTCTAGTGCAACCTACTCAACATGTCGATGATAGTAGAGTGCTATCAGAAAACAATACAGGATAAATATTATGAAGCTGTAAACTACGCCATTTACAGGTGAGTTATTGATTTCAGGGCCCAGGGCGTGGCCAGACAAAAGTGCACGGCTGCAAGCCCTGGATACCGTCAATTATTGCAAAATCGGCGCGCGCAGATCGCACATGTATATATCTTAAATATAATCATACTTGTATGCACTAAATAAAAGTACTAAGTAGGTAAATTATCACGATTAAGATAAAAATAAAGTATAAAATAATTGTTTTATTACTACTAGTAACTCCAAATTTCTATAACAAATTTTAAGAAGGGGACAATTTGTCTTTTAAATGCGTAATTAAAAAAAACATACAACGTAATACAGACATATACAGACTTACATCCTGTAAAATGCAGCTGTCGATATTTATCAATGAATAAATATGATTACAACGACTTCGATGACTGTACGCGGTTTCTTCTACGGTATATTATTATGCGCAATTTGTATGATACGTGATCGAATTATTTAAAAATACTGTTTACAATGGTGGAAAAGGATGTTATTTTGTTTATATTTAGAACTCACATTTTTTTTGTGGATAAGACCGCTCTACGCGTTGGTCGCGTAACTTGTTTATTTTGATTATTTCGTAACATAACATCGTTTAATATAAATATTATTTCACGAAATATGTAATATTAAAAAAATCACATATAAATATTTATTTTTTAAGATTACGAATTCGAATGTTTTTGTGATTGAAAGTGTTTTTTTTTAAAGGAAAGCTTGAGAAAAACAATGTAAATTGTAAAGTAGGTGCCTGATTGACTTCCAGAGATA